TTGCAGTAGTGAATGAATGAATTACTGCCACTCTTACCTCGATCCACTGTATGTATATGCCTACGTCACACTGTCGAGATTTCTTACCCTTCCCATAAACTGTCGACATAACTAAAAAACCTGTCAAATACGTTCGGGTTCCAGTCCACACACCTCTTCTGATTTAAGAGTCATGATTTCTTATTCGGTAAACATCGTATGGACCTTATATATACTTTAGTGGTTTGTCATTTATTACATGTTCTTTCGTCTTTAATACAAATTTGACACTATTCTTTTTCTTCCAGAACCAAGGGCATTGAGGCAATGATTAGTCATATGTGTCCTTTAACACATGTCATTTACCACATGTTCATGTTTGAATCATGACGAACAAACCTATGACGTCCTATCACTGCATGTCTAGTCACTGTAATAGTAATAATGGCTTCCATCATTCCTAGAATTATATATATACCTTCAACATGGCGTCATTTGTGTCTTATAAGCAATCCGAAAGGAAGGAACAACGTATAAATGAGATTTTGTCAAGCTACAATTACCATGAAAGATGTACACACAACTTCAACAACCCAGACAGTATTAATACCATCAACTCGTAGATTGAGTTTGTTTAGATAAACATCACGGAATATATACATCACGCAGAGGCAATGAATTGAGACAAATACTAACTTGGCCTCATAACGCATGCACGACAAAAGGTATCATATCACTGAAAACAGCAATGTACAACTACGGATGTATCGAACTCAAATGAACCAATAATTGTAGTTCGGTATAGCCCTAGTTTCGTTATACGCATTTGTTGACTCATATACGGCAAATGACCGGACACAAGAACAATTCGTTTTAAACATAGTTTATTGTATATTTCGGCTAATATAGGCAGTCAGGCGCGTAGCAAGCCAATTTTTTCGTGTAAGCCCGATAGGTTGCAAAGCTTTATATTAGATCGTATCGAGGGCTTGCCCAACCTTTTTAGCAACAATCAAGTGTAAGCCCGGGCTTTGTTTTACAATGGTAGCTACGCCCCTGGCAGTGGATGGTGATCTGTGTTAATTAATTTCATTTGTCATCCTGTCGACCTTTACGTTTTAAGATATAAATATTGTACACAGATTATCTTGATTCCCTCTTTGACCTGTTAGTATACCGAATTGGTCTCTTCATTTATGGCACCTTACGGAGCAATGCCCTGGTGGTCGTGTGTTCGAACATCCCTACCCAAAACATTACGTTTCTCCACGGTCACCACGGCGTCCATTGCATGTTGTCAATCTGAACGTATGCATGGGATATCGAAAAGGTAGATTTCAAACCCTGACACTAAAATCGGAACTGATTCATCTAAAACCAACAAGTTTTATAACAAGGCAACAACAATAATAATCTACATACACCCTGGCTGACCGCATTTGTTTCCCATCGTCAGCAAGCTCTCAATTTCCATCCTTACGTGGTAAAGAAAAGGTTTTTCGTCTCTCAGTTTTCCCCACCGCTGTTAATTACATTTATGTCTTTAAACAAATGGTCAATATTTACCTTGATTCACCAAGATTTTCATAGATTATATACAATATTTTCTCGAATTTCAAAAGATCGCCCCTCCATATTTAATTTGATCATGTGTAGTCTGCAGTTAGACGAACTATGAAAAGATTAAAACCAAATGTTGAGTACGCTACAAACATCTTTCATATATTATATAACATAACTTTCATAATAATTCGTATAAAGACTTTCATAACAATTTCTAAATGGCCAGCTCACCATTCAAACAAACAGATGAAGTGGTTAGGTGAAGGAGGGTCAGGTCCCTCTCCAGGAATAAACCACTCAAGAGTTATGTCCCTTATGTCGGCCAACCGATTAACTGTATCAAAACAAGTGTTTGCCACTGATGTGGCAATGTCCACCGCCGCTAAAGAATGGAATATCTATATTTACTACTTTTAATTTTTGAGTCACATACAAGATGCCTGAAATGACTGGTGTCTGCATAATCACCCAATGTAGGCTGTCAACATACTTGAAAACATTGGGTGCAATGTTTTATGAGATATCGCCTTTAAAAAGCGGTCAAAGTATCATGGTGACCTTGAAGATAAGGTCAAGGTCACCCAAATAAACTGGTGTCTGTGTAATACCCCAATGTAAACTGTCACCAAATTTGATGACATTGGGTACAACAGTCCATGAGATATCGCGTTAACAAGAGTTGAAAGTGTGAAAAGTGTCGTGGTGACCTTGAAAATAAGGTCAAGGTCACCCAAAATCAACTGGTGTCTGCATAATCCCCCAATGTAGCCTGTCACCAAATTTGAAGACATTGGGTACAACAGTCGATGAGATGCCGTGTTAAGAAGAGTTTATAAAGTGTTCAAAGTGTCGTGGTGACCTTGAAAATAAGGTCAAGGTCACCTAAATACAGTGGTGTCTGCGTAATCCCCCAATGTAGGCTGTCACCAAATTTGAAGACACTGGGTACAACAGTGCATGAGATATCACGTTAACAAGAGTTTGAAAAGTGGTCAAAGTGTCGTGGTGACCTTGAAAATAAGGTCAAGGTCACCCAAATCGACTGGTGTCTGCATAATCCCCCAATGTAGGCTGTCACCAAATTTGAAGACATTGGGTGCAACAGTTCATGAGATATCGCGTTAACAAGACTCGGGACGTACGTACGTACGGACGTACGGACGCCGCTGAATACATAGTCCTCCGTTTTGCGTTGCGACGGGGGACAACTAATCAAACAAGTTTTACACTTACCAGTTTGTGGCTGTTCAGATCAAGTGCGTGACCTCATTTACATGCAAACATCCCTACATTAATTGTTTGATCAACATACCTGGTATATGTGATATATCAGCTTATGCCAATATGTTAACAGGAAGAAATCTGGCAGAACAATAAATGCCAAGTTTTCACCTGGAAGAAGATCCATCATTCGTCATTTGTACCTTTAAGAAATTATTTTTCAGCCAAAGTTAAAATACCGCATGACGAATTTGAATTGCTTATCTTTAATGGGAGACAATGTGATGTCAAACCATGGGAAATAACATTGGATTAAAACATTTCTATAAACGGACGCCGAAGGTTTTTATGTTGGTGAAAAATGTGTATCTTCAGACGCATAATTATGTTCCGGAAAGGGTTCGAGGTATACCAAGACAATTCTCTGTGTGACATCTTGCTTCTCAGGGATGAACAACCTGCAAACAATTCACTGAAATTGATGAATTCTGAGTTCCTTCATCTGGTTCGTCCTTCAAAGGAGAGATTGGCGTATCAGCTGGTATTGGCCTCATACAGTATGTTGCAAACAAGAAGACAACAAATTCGGCTATGTCGTGTCATGATTTCGTGAGCAGTCTCATAGTTCGCAATACAGACCTTGCTCCTATCCAGGTGGTGGTGGTGGTGGAATTGGGTTTAACGTCGTGCTTGAGAATATTTCGCTCATATGATGACGTGCATGCGTGTGTAGGTGTTGCGGCTGCTTGTACTAGCCCAGACTTAAGCAGGTTTTATAGTGCTAGCCCACTGAGATACCATGCTGCAGTGAAGCATGAATACCCCACTCAGACACATTATACTGACTCCGAGCCGACCAGTCCTTGTTGTACTCATTAATGCCGAGCGCCAGGCAGGGACCAACAAGTACCATATTTTAACGTCTTTTGGTATGACGCGTTAGGGGATCGAACCCGCGACCTTCCGCACTCCGGGCGGACGCTCTAACCACTACACCACGGAGGTGGTCTTCCTATCCAGGCTTTATGGTGAGATCCAAGGTTATCACCTAGTCCCAGCTCAGGAAGCACCAAGCAAATTCAGTAACTGCTTGTGGACCAGACCGTAGACATTGATATTATGAATAATAAGCCTGACCTTACTAATGAAGTCGCTCATTATGAACAGAACAGTTAACTGGGGTCCAATTATACGCAAGAATAGAAAACAGGGTCAGCTTCCAAGGTATTAGCAGTATCAAAGAAGTCTGTTAGCTTATGCATATCTGCCGCGAATCAGCATAAATTGAATCCATAATGGTCAAGATTCCAGTACTGCAGTTTGTGAGAGTTAGTGAGTGGAGTTTTACATCGCTTTTAGCAATATTCCAGCAACACCAGAAATGGGCTTCACACATTGTACCCATGTGGGGAATCAAACCCCAGTCTTCAGCTTGACAAGTGGATGCCTTAACCATTAGGCTACCCCACCACCCCACTTAAGTTTGTGGTTCAATTCCAGTAAGATCTATTCATAATAAAGACATTATTAGCACATGCATACCATTTCACAAACATTTTAACGCAAGTGTATGGTACTGTCCGTTTGAGTCAGATACGGACCGATGAATTGCAAATTTTATCATTGTACAAAATTGCCACATAAATATATATAGTACACATGTTTATCATTTACTAATACCCAACAGCTTTCTTATATTTGAAAATTTTCCGGACTCCACCAAAAAAGTTCTTTAAGAAACTATCATTAAAATTTTGACACAGTTCACTATTTGTTACGAGGGAGGAGTGCATAGAAAGGGACAGCCAGGTGTGCGAGAAAGGATGGAGACGGCACAGCACAGGCTAATGAATCAATAACTTGGTGGGCACTTGTGCACGTGCTTCTGTAACACCTGGCTGTCCCTTTCTCTGCACTCCTCCCTCGTAACAAATAGTGAAGTGTGTCAAAATTTTAATGAACTTAAAGAACTTTTTTGGTGGAGTCCGGAAAATTTTCAAATATAAGAAAGCTGTTGGGTATTAGTAAATGATAAACATGTGTACTATATATATTTATGTGGCAATTTTGTACAAAGATAAAATTTGCAATTCATCGGTCCGTTTCAAAATTTGCAATTCATCGGTCCGAATCTGACTCAAACGGACTGTAGTTTTTAGCTTGCTAGGCAAGTATAGGTCAGAGTTTTCTAATAATATAACTCCACACCAGGGGCCAATTATGACACAACTAAGACAGATAGAACATTTTTGGTTTATTTGACTGTTTTTTTGCTTTGTATACAAAAACAAGTACAGCCCAAGACAGTGTTTCTGATACGGCCTGGGCAATAATAAACAATAGAATAGCACTTGACATGATGAAAGCAAGAAATAAACGGTACAGCACACTTCATCCAATGGTTGCCACGGGAACCTGGTGACAAGTGATGCCATGGCAACCACAGAAAGGGAGAACTTTTTTCTAGTGACAACTTTTGATCAATATAAATACATTATTACAACCCACTTCTGTCTGCTCAATACATTTCCCCATTGCCAGCATAATGTACATGGATAGAATCAAGAATAGAAGGAAATGCCATACAGTACAATTCAATATTCTTCATATTTGGCTGAGACATGGAATCATAAGAACTCACATGACAAGATAACCAAGTTGGACAAAGGCGATGTTCTTGCATTGGCTGATAATTGCATTTGGACACTTTAACTCTGATGTCATAGAGACAAGAAAATATTGACATGTGCAATGGAGTGAATATTTGATGATGGCATGAATTATGAAAAGCATATTATGATGGCAACATTGTTCAGAGAGCTAATTCATCCATGTTAACACTCATTTCAGATTCTTAAGAGTCTTTCACCAGAGCAAAATAAAAATTCCATCTTATTGCTCAATGTTTCTGCTTAATCAAATAGTGTATGAATTGAGACTAGAAGCCTTGTGCTTCCCACAGTTAAATGTTGGAGACATCAATAGAGTCGTTGATGTACACTGGTGGAGAAATGTTGATGCTGTGACAATGATGACAACCATGCCGAACCCAGGTCAGGTGGAGCTGTTATGGAAGCTGAGGGTGGGGAGGGCTCAGGGCTCAGGGCCCTCTGACGCCTGGGGGGCAGCGGACTGGGCAGCGGCTGCATCACCTCCCTGTTTCTTTACGCCCGACACGATGTCGTCGATCCTCAACAGTAGAACTGCCGTCTGCATGGTAGAGTAGCAACGTTAGTGACAGAGTTGGGGTGAATGCCATCTTGAAAAGTTTCCATATTAGTCCCTTAGGGAGCAGTTTGGATTCTGTCTACACAACCTACACTGGTAACCAGGGGCAACTTAATGGATGAGGTGGTCACACAGGGACTTGGTTCACCTTGTGTCATCATAGGGCAACAACATGAATAGCTGTTGATATCAGTCACTGGATTGTCTGGTCCAGTTTCAATTAGCCCATATATTTCAATTATCTACAAAGCTGGAATTGAATCTAATGGGCTGCAAATAGTCATTTCCAGACAAGAAAATGACTATGATTGACATTGAGGGTGACCAACAGTTGGCAATATTTCAGCCATGCCATATAACAAGAGAACTAGAGGAAAGTTGTAGTGCTCCGTGTCATGACAATCAGAAGCTGATGCACCTGACAACATCTACTACAGGAGCCAGAGGAGACACACAAGTATCACCAACCTCAATTGCAGTCTTGAACACTTGATTCTTGACAGTGACTGGTTCCCAGACACCAAACTGCTTCATGTCGACGATGGCGCCTGTCTCGCCATCAATTCCCCAGGTCACACTGTCGCCCTTTGCATGCTTCGCCTGGAGGAGGAACAAGGCATTTACCACGTCTGCATGTGAATTTCTTTCAGTATTTACTTCATTATGACTTCAATATCACAATAAGAAATTAAAAAATGAATATCAGGAAGATTATGATGTAATATCCAAATAAGCGATTTTTCAAAGGTTAAAATTGAATTTAGTTCTTTAGCAGGCAGACTTTATAGGTTAAAAAATGTGTGGTGTTGGTTGGGTGAGCTTGTTCTTATATCACCATCCACATGAACTAACATACTTATAATTCATCAATAAACATTACATCTTTCTAATAACTGCTTGTTATTTGTGTCAGCAAAGTTGTATTTGAGGTCAGCTGAATATGGAACAAGCTCATAACCAACTGTAGATATGAAACAGTTAAAGTACCCTGAGAGCTGTGATAGTCCTGATGGTATTGGCCCCACAGTTCTGGATGAGAGTCCTTGGTGTCACCTCCAGAGCACGAGAGATTGCCCGGTATGGCCACTGGTGTACCCCTGTGATGCTCTTTGCCTTTTCATTCAGAGCCTAAAGGACCATAAGAAAGGTATTGTCATGAACAGTAAAAAAAAAACATATATAATTTCAAAATCATGAACCCATTAACTGTCACTGCGACAAAGAAACTTGGTTTCGGCTTAATCACATTTTGTGATAATAATAATAATAGTGCCTATTTATAGTGCGCACAAATCCACGTTCGTAAACATGCTCATGGTGCTACAATTAAAACAATATGTACAGTAAGAGTGAGCTGTTTATGAGTCATAGAACTGAATGAAAAGGTGCATTTTGAGATGGCTTTTAAAGGAGTCCCGAGTTGGTGCGAGCTTCAGGTCAAAGGGTAAAGAGTTCCACAAGACCGCAGCAGTGTGTGAGAAGGATCTGTGACCGAAGGTCTTAAGCTTGTAGGAAGGTACTGATGTACATCCAACATTTAATGACTACACAAGATGCATTAATGATATTGAATTAGTTGCACTGATGATTCACCACTAACATGGTAGTGCAGTCACTCCATCAGACTTAAACAATTTACACAAACTACAACAGAAGCCTTTCAGTCTGACTGCTGGGGCTTCTTGCAACATTTTCTATTGATTCTGAAGTGATTAGTTTTGTAGCAGTAGTGTGAGACAAACCTGTGCAAGGGCCATTTCTGTGGCGCCACCGCCTGGGGCCAGAGTGGGTTCCAGGAGGACATTTCGGGCCACATTCATGGCATCCTGAAGGTTACGCTCCACTTCATGCAAGATGTCCTTACTGGCCCCCCGCAAGAGGATGGTGCAAGCCTTGGGCTCCTTGCACTCCGTCAAGAATGTGAAGTAGCTGAAATAATAATCTGGCTGTCATCACTGAGTAAACACTTTACACATTGACGTGCAACTTTGATAGTAGTGTAAGCTGACCATCAATCCCAGGACAAGGCAGGTGCTTGCCTGTAGCTGATGTGTCAGATGTTGATGTAGGAGAGTGTATGAGAGGCAGAGCTGAGAGAGACTCTGACACCCTTGGTACTCTCCAGTCATGGTTATCTTTAAAATGCATTTTGGATTACAGTTGTCTCTGTATTTATTTATGGTCGCAACTAGCCCTTATACTTTTCTAGTTCAATATAATAAAAATCATTAACATACATGGTCTTTAAAGTCTTTGAATGGCATTTAGAGTGAGTGAGTTTAGTTTTACGCCACACTCAGCAATATGGCAGCGGTCTGTAAATAATCGAGCCTGGACCAGACAAGCCAGTGATCAACAGCATGAACATCGATCTGTGCAAATGGGAACCAACGATATGTGTCAACCAAGCCAGCGAGCCTGACCATCCGATCCCGTTGGTCGCCTCTTACGACAGGCATGGGTTACTGAAGGTTCATTCTAACCAGGACCTTCACGGGTCTGAATGGCATTTAGAAGTGATACACAAAAATTGTAAATATTTCTGGAAGTCAGCTTCTGTAATGTGTCCTTCATATTACAGAAGTCGACATCCATACACTTTCACCCCTTTCATGATATATACAATGAATATTCTACATTAAACATGTCACTGATAAGAGACACAATGAGATACAGAGGCACAAGTCCAAAGCAGTTGATGGGTGGTATATGACTGATTATTAAATGTTTGTCTCCACTGATGGGGATGTCATGAGACTGCCCTACCTAGCATGCCAAGCAGAATATTCTCATCTGTTTCCAAAGAAGCAATTAAGCTACTTTCATGCTCAATAAATACATCAACAATGTTACCGATACAGTTATGGAATGAAAGAGATTCAAGTTTCTAAATAAATGAATTTACATAAGATATGATCACCAACAAAATGTTCACTGGACACGCCCTTCCTCATTAGATATGGTCTGACAAAAAGTTTGATGGGACTTGAGACTACGGACATTACTGATAAGCCTAGTGTAAGCTGACCATCACTCCCAGGACAAGGCAGGGGCTTGCCTGTAGCTGATGTGTCGGCAGTTGGTGTAGGAGAGGGAGAGTGTATGAGAGGCAGAGCTGAGAAAGACTCTGACACCCTTGGTACTCTCCAGAGGATGGTCACTTTCCTGACAAAATTTTCACAAACTTACACAACAACCTTCCATGGTGGACATGATCACAGAGAACATGGGAGAGATGAAAATTAGCATTAGAGTTATAGTGATAGTGTCTGGTGTTGTTTCACACCATCCTGCATTATACAACTATGTTACAGACTAAACAACAATCTAACCATGAGGCAACATTAAGTCTCCCACTTTATCAGCTTATGTCAGTACCAGTCAACTCAGTCTAGTTCTTGTTATCTACTACTGTACAGCAAACGTACCAAAGAAGAAAAAAAGACATGCTTACAGAAATGTGCAAAGATTTCCCGCAAAATCTGCATCCACTGGTCACCAAACAAACCATACCTGAGGAGTCTACAGTATAATTCAAATCACTCTAATATTCTTTCAGGAAAGGGCAAAGGGCAAAATGTTGGCATACTTACTCATCGCCAATCTTCTTGATCTCAAACAAGCCACAACCTGTGCCCACATCCTCCTCCTTCAGTTCATCAGTTCGGTTTGCTATGACAGCTCCACATGCCCTGAAACATCACCAATACCCTTAATGTCAGGAGGTGAGCTAAACAAACTTTCAACTAAATAAATATATTGCACATCTTCTTTATTCAATGATTAATGGTTGTAGCTACAATCCAAGGGACATAACTCCAACAGACCTACAGTGCATAGCTAGATGCCAATCACAAAGACTTCTTATAACATGAAGTATTAAACACTTATCACACTAAGGGATCACAGTATACTTTCAAGACTATTACATGCCAATATTACTTCAATAAGCCCCTCACAATGAAAGGTCTATCTGAAGTAAATCTGAAGCGATACAAGTCTAGTTTAGGCTACAGAAGGCACCACTCCTTACAAATACATGTATACAATAATCAACTTCATCATACAGCAGACATGAACATATGGTTGTTACCTTGCTATCCTATTGTTGTCTGTCTTCCGGACTCTCCTGATAACGCTAACCCCTGCCTTCACAAAGAAGTGTTGAGCGAGATCGGACACCCCCTTCTCTGTGATGACCAGGTCAGGCTTCACCGCCAGCACCTCATCACACGCCTTCTTCACAAACTCTTCCTCCAGCTGCAGAATCTTCCTGTCAACACATGGAGCATCAGGTAAGATTGAGAGATTTCATTGATTCGTGACTTGTTTATGTTATTCCCTTCTTAGCAACATGATGCTGCCTTGAAGTATTTGTCTGGGCCAGATAATCCAGTGACCGATATTATGAACATCAATCTACCAAATCCATCTAAATGACACGGATCCTGAAAGTAAGCAGGCCTGACTACTTGACCCTGTTTGAAACTTCCTACAATGAGCATTGGTTAATGAAGACCAAATTCTAACCTGATCTGCCTGAACAGTACTTAATCAACAGTTTACAATAAGTGGAAAGGATAAAGGATCACAAATTGGGGGTCACTACAGTTACATCATAGAAATGAGCATTCATTTTTATGACCATAAATGTTTAAGCCCACCCATTTTGAGATACTGTAAACGTACTTATTTTCGCGTGGTGCAATTTTCGCGGAATTGACAGTTTAGACTACATCGCGCGGTCAATTATTCGCGCAATCAGTAATTGCCGGAACTGCCAGCTGTCTCTTTGGCCGCCACTAATAGCAGTGAAAAAACCCAGAGTGGCTTAACCTGTCAGGCGGCGTTTATTGCTTACTCACAGGAAATCTCTATCTGTGCGATATACTAGTACACAGTAATCCGTTTACTCCCAGAAGAGATGAAAAACACATCAGTCTTATGTTCCGAATTCTGACGATTTGACGAATTAACTTATACTGTATATGAAGCTCTTTGTGATTTCAAACAAGCCGGGTTGTTGTGAATGAGATGATTGAGGGTTAGTGACTATTCGCTTCATGATGTACTGGTGAATAAAATCTTAATGAATAAATAAAATACTGCTGTATTATTTCTTTCCGAGTAGTTTCACGGTAATCTGTTTTGTATCAAACCATCTGTCATGTGACCAATTTCCATGGCGGCCACAACACACATTGCTGTTTTCGCTAATTCGGCAATGGGATTTGGCTCATTATTTAATTATGTTTTGGGAAATCCATTACAGCGACAGTTAAGTATGATCAGTCATCATTTTAAGATTCCCGTTGATTTCTGTCTTCAAACGTGATGTGTTATGGTAACAACTCAGGGGCGAGCGTGGCTAGACTGAATGAACGACAGGTTTATTCGTGGTGTATAAATTTTCGCGCTAAAATGTTTTGCGCGAAAAGCGCAAAAATAAAACCTGCGCGAAATATAATACGTTTACAGTAGTCACTAATAAAGCAGTGTCATGTTTTCCATCTAACACTTATTTCACAAGAGCTGGATGCTGGCGGATGTATTCTCCCACTCAAAACCTAGATTCAGTAGAAACACTTACACAAAATCCTCTTCCTTTGTAATTTCAATGTTTGTCTGAAACAAATCAGAACGAATTAGTAATGAACCAGGACCCTTCAATTACACAACCAAATGATAGCACCGAAGGTACATTTACATGAATAAATAAATATATACTAAGCAGCAAAAGAATCGTCAGTTTGGAATTTTCCTTCGCAGAAATGGATAACTAAACTCATTTAATGTTTTGGTTGTATATTTTTGACAACATCTCCAACATTCCATCCCAAACTCAGAATGGAAACCAGGAAATGGTCTCAAAGACGCAACCTGAGGTACCATGTTCTCCATGTTTTTCATGCAACTCATGCTGCACGTGCTGTTCACAAGGACCAGCCCTATAAAATGCACTCCCATACCTGGTTGAAACATTCACATTACAACGTCAGCAGGAACCAGGTGCTAGGAAGACTTGAAGCTGGCCACACTGCACAAGCCGTTGCCAATCATTTCCAGGTCAACGTTTCGACCATCTACAGGTTGCACCAACTTTTCCGAGCCACCAACACCACAATGATCGCCCCCATACTGGCAGACCAAGGGTGACCACAAGACGACAAGATCGCCATGATGAACGACAGCATGTACAGAATTCCTTCATGCAGGCATCTGAAACAGCACGCCAGACAGTGGGAACACACAGAAGACCAATCAGTACTGATACAGTACGCACGCTGACGTCTTAACAGCGGGAACCTCCATTGCAGTAGACCTTACCTATCCTCACCCCTCGTCATCGGCGTGAACGTCTACAGTTTGCCCTACAAGACCAAAACTGGTGATACAGGCAACGGAGAAGTGTTCTATTCACAGATGAGAGTCGGTACTGCGTATCAACTGCAGATGGCAGAACAAGAATATGGCGACGATGTGGCCAGCGTTACTCAGACCAATGTGTTATGGAAAGAGACTCATTGGGAGGTGCAAGCATCATGGTATGGGGTGGAATAGGCCTGAACCAGAGAGTGGGTCCTGTGGTGTTCCAGAACCTTCGTCCAGGGAGAGGAGGTGGCATCACAGCGGTGCGCTACATCGACCAGGCTCTCAGACACCCTGTCATTCCACATTTCGCACGTCACCGGAACAACATTTTCCAGCATTATAACGCCCGGGCCCATACTGCCAGAGCTACACGGGACTTCCCCAGCAGAACGGTGTCAACATTATGAAGTGGCCAGCCCTTAGTCCTGATTTCAACCCAATTGAACATCTTTGGGATGAAATTCAGAGGAGACTGAATAAAGTCATACCAAGGCCGAACACAGCTGATTTATTGCGCCAGGCCTTTCTTAGAGTGTGGTTCCAGGTGCCAATGACCTTCATCAATAGATTGGTGCACTCCATGTATAGACGCTGTGCTGCAGTTATTGCCGCTCATGGTGGTCACACTAGATACTGAAGTCAAGAGTCTGAATGGACTTCAAACATTCACGTAATGTCTTGGAATTGTGCTGAGTTATCCATTGATGTGTCAAGATATTGTACACAAAAAATGTTTTTGATCTGCTTATGTCCATTTCTGTAATGATTTGATTACAGTGCCTATCTCATTTTGAATTCGTACTGACAGGTTTTTTTGCAGCTGAGTATATATCACAGAAATCAAGTTCTCACACTTTGAAATATATCTTCCTCCAATGCACAAATTCCCTTTCCAATGCATGTACAGTCCAGCAGGTACATTGTCAGTATAACACCAAGGTTGTACTGCTAACAAGGACACTTACCACACTTTCACCTTTCTTGTATTCTAAATTGCAGTCAAGTAGAACTATTCTTGGGTTTTCTATTCTCCTGAAAATAAAATATAAATGTTAATAAATTATTTTTGAGTGAGTGAGCGAAGTCTGTTGAATTTTACCAGGAATTAGGTTCATAAGCACTTGTGTGGGAATAAAAAAACGGGACTTCGCTGTTAGAATACAATCTAATGACAAAGCTCCGCAATACAAAGCTTTATTTCATAGACATTCTTAGAGCGAGTGAGCGAGTTTAGTTTTATGTCGCTTTTAGCAATAATTCAGCAATATCCTGGCAGGGGACACCAAAAATAGGCTTCACACATAATACCCAATTGGGGAATCGAACCCGGGTCTTTGCCGTGATACGCGAATGCTTTAACCACTCGGTTAGCCCACCCTCCCGACATTTTACAAGTACTGAAGAGTTATTCTGACATTGCGCCATCTAGGAATCTTGAAATTACCAGTGCTAGCTATTGCATGAACTTTAATTTCTATACATTACAGGCTAACAGGCTCAAATGTTTGAAATAAAAACTGTACCTTTTCATTTTTGGATGAACAACATCCTTGTTGACCATAATTCCATTTAACACTTTAGATTCTTCAATTAGGCCACCAGGGATCTGAAATACATGATGATATGAAGAAATATGAACATACAATATCCACATATATTCAAAAACAGACACTCAGACACAAAAGCACATACATACCGACATACACAAAGCTGACAAAGTACTTGTTACCAACTTGTAGACAAAAAAAATGTGAGATAGTATCACTACTATCCCAACTTCAGCTGAACAACAATTAAACATGACCTTCAGCTGAACAACAATTAAACATGACCTTCAGCTGAACAACAATTAAACTTGACCTTCAGCTGCACAACAATTAAACTTTACCTTCAGCTTCAAGGAATCTTCTTGGCCATGTAATTAGCATTCTTCACATGAACTGTAAGTCTTTCAACAACGTAAATATCTATTAAGTGAGGATTACCCTTCTGAACATTTTGAAATGGTGGGATGAAACTATGCATGGTTTATATATGCCTTCATATATACCTTTTCTACTTTTGCATATCTCTTAATATCAATCTCTTTACGCCCATTTTCTTCCAAGGCAACGGTTTGTGTGGCATCAAGGGCTATTTGACAGGCCATGTCCATCCTGTAAGAGAATACATAGTTTAAACTAGCTACAAAAACTGGCTTAATATATCTCACTTGAAAAGAGAATACGTAAAATTCTAAACAATGCACTAATTAACGAAACTGTTTTCATTAGAACTATGTTTCTTCTTGTTATACAGACATGGTAATTGAGATTTATGTGTAGTCATTTACAAACCTATTTGCAAGAAATGAAAGTTCTTATCCAGTGCAAGACCTTTTTACAGGAAAATAATGTCAACCTGAATGAAGGAGAAAAACATGAAACATAACTGTAGAGTCCCATTACCATTTACTGATGAACTTTGTTCCTAGACAGCTCTTGATAATCTTCAGCATCTGTTCTCTGTCTGAGGTGTCGATGGGTACACTGAATCACAAACAGTGGTCATTACAACACAATACTCCTACATCATCATCATCTTCATCATTACCATCACCATCATCATCACCACCACCACCACCATCACCATCATCCCCATCATCCCCATCATTATCTTCATCATCACGATTGAATGCATTTTATGCATCCAGTATCAGCAATTCAATCGGTCAAGCAGTTAAGGTCACCTTAATCCAAACAGTCACATAGATTAGACTCTCAATTAACCTGTAACAAATCATGTACAAATCAATATCCCTTTAAAGGGCACAAGGTAACTGTAAGTGCCAATTTTTTGTGCAACATTTACTCAAACTGACCTGATTTTGTTGTGTAGGATCTCCAGCATGTCCTCGAGGGCCTGTCTGAACGCAGATATTATCACAGTTGGGTGCATTTGTTGAAGCAGGAAAGGGTGAGCTACAGACAATACCTCACCAGCTATAATTGAAAGTAAAACAAATGATTATCACTGCACAAATACGACAACTGATTAGCATTTAAACCATGTAGATAACAAAAAGTTCAGCATATACTTCAAATTGTTTGAAGTGTTGACACGTCTGACAACCCAATAACATTTACATCACATGTTTTCATTTTCTGTCAACTTCAGCATATGTGGTATATACCATGGCTATTTAGATCCTTGAGGATCATCATCTCTCAATGCTACATTTCATCTGAGGACCCTCCTATTCAATCACTTCCAATACAAGCAAACTGGAAAGATCCCAGTGATTTTGTATTTCGAAACAACAGTTACAATCCTTCCTGTTTTCAAACAGGATATTTTACTGCAACTTCTCTGGTACATTACCACAGCAACAGCAAACACCATGACAACTCACCGAGGATGATGACAGATTTGGTTCCGTCTCCAGTCTCTTCGTCTTGTGTGCGGGCAACCTCAATCATAGACTTGGCAGCAGGATGCTGGACATTAATCTGAAACAGGACAGGCAGTTACTTCCCCTTGTACATGTTGCTAACACTGGTACAAATAAGGAGAAAAAGTGGGTGAACAAAACTGCACTCATATCGAGAAAACACAGAGAAAATGGGAAAATAAGAGTTTGGAACAAGAAAAACAGCTTGATAGCACATGAATAGGGTCCACCACTACACATATTTATATATCACTTGACATTCGTTTAGTAAGCTCCAACATGTAGTGAGTGAGTAAGGTGGGCTGGGTTTCAGCATTACTACAGAGAATTGCACAGCAAGGATACCAAACATAGTCTTACATATTACACAAGGAGTCAAACCCAAGGATGGCATTATGAGCAAGTACCAGAACCATTTGGCTACCCAACAACTCCACCAGTCCTCAAAATATGCAAGGGCCACTCAACAGTTGAACAGGTATTTTTTCTGTTTCAGTTGACATGTCACAATGTGAACACTCTAATAACCAACATTTTCAAAACATACAAACTTCCTGACAGACTCAAAGGCAATAAATATTTTCAAAAATATTCAATCACTAAACACAAATGCTGAATTGTTTAAAAAAACATAATAGATTCTATAAATAGATATTGATCCTTTACTTTGCAAGTGAGTCTCTCCATAAAATGTGAATCCAAATTAACAAAACACTTCGACATTAAGATGTTCATGGGTTATAGTTTGTCATTTTTCAACGGAAGCTGTGATTTTATGAGCACTTCATAATGCCAAAACCATAACTAGCCGATGAGGGTCTCACAAAATACGATCTTTATTGATCTATCTGCATCTGCCAACATCAAGCATTCATAGAAGCTGCACATCCTGGCCTGTTTAACAAAGATACGGGAAATCCACTTTAAATCATCTGAAGGCTAAATTTCCATTTCTGTACATTGAAGAACTTGGGCATTCCAGAACAGCTTCAAAAACCTTGCTTTGTTACAACTAATGACTATCAGGTGGTAAAACATGTCTGGTGGTAAAACATGTCTGGTGGTAACACGTGTTAGGTGGTAAAACATGTCTGGTGGTAACACGTGTTAGGTGGTAAAACATGTCTGGTGGTAAAACATGTCTGGTGGTAAAACATGTCTGGTGGTAAACATGTCTGGTGGTAACACGTGTTAGGTGCTTTATTCAAGGGTAGAAACATTTGATCAAATGCTGTTTGCCAAGAGCTTGTTATGTATGTAAAATTACCAGATATTTGGTAGATAAGCACTCCTAAGTTTTACCAGTCTCAGTGTAATAGACATGAGGCTTGTCTATTTCATTACTTGAGATTCATCTCAAACTAATGGTGTTGATCATTGCTCATTGCTAGCATGTTCTGAAACTTGATTACTTGAAAATTATAGAGAAGCAGCTGAAATATTGCAGACCACAGAAAAAACATCACTTGTCTGCCCATTGATCAGAATCTGTTATCATATCTACGGAAATGAAACTGATTCACTATAATCAAGGAACATTTCCACCTCTACCCAACCCATAAACAGAAACACTGTCAGACACTTTTCCCAGTAATTGGAAAATTATCAGAAATTCAATACTAGCCCCTATTTCAACTACAAATTATTGCTTCCAAGCAAGCCACTTACAAGAATCAGGTGATTATACATAAACATATGGGTTCACTCCTACAGATGATAACTTACAAGAAATGTTCAACACAGATTATTTCCATACAGTTCATGGTCACGCAAGATTGTGCATCATTGTCATGGCAACACAAAGAAGTGCCAGACTGTTATACCTCCACACTTGGACATGCAAGCTGTTTACAACCAAGCAGTGCCATTTGTCAAACATCTTTTAACCAAATTATCTTATTCACCAACCAACCTAACCCAAACTTTGTCCAAAATGTCTTTATATACTATTCAAAGATGTTAAGGGCCAGCTACATTTGTAAATATTGCTATATCTGATGCATCACACTATGCTGCACATTACTATAGCAGTAGGACTGACTGACTGACTAACTGAGTTTGGTTTTACGCCGCTTTTAGTTTTAGCAATATTCCAGCAACATCACGGCAGGGGACACCAGAAATGGGCTTCAAACATTGTACCCATGTGGGGATTCGAAACCGGGTCTTCGGCATGACAAGCCAACGCTTTAACCATTAGGCTACCCCACTGCCCCATAGCAGTAGGAAATAAGCCTCAACTTATTAAGGGCAAGATATAATCAAGGAAAATTATTGTCTGTTAAGATCATTTTCATCAAGCCAAAGACATGTGAGACATTATTTCTGTTATGGTTGCTTTGATCCATCAGTACAGACATACTCTGCATGTTACACACCAGAAGATACATATCAATATTTCCCCACCATGAAACAGGATGTATGAAACGAGGACACCAAACAAACTGGGTGTCAGACATTTGTTGTGTCCAGTTACAAATCCTGCTCAGGGTTCTTACAGATTGTCAGCCATCAATGTTCAAGCCAATAAACAATTTTATGGAACTATAAAAACAGATAAAAAATAGCTGAATATATATTACACTAGTTGGACATGGGACTGATCTTCATGGGTAAACAACTCATAGCTACATCGCTCTGCTGGGAAAGTTTTGCTTCGCGATGGAGATTAATGAATACACAGAGTCTTTGCAAGGTAGTTTTTGTGTAACAGTTTCCTGTGAAATGATTAACTTGACCTTATGGCAAATCATTGGCAATTAGGGCCTTTTCAAGTTTAAATGAATTTCGAGTTGTTATGGGTAAAACATGATTTTAAGGGTGTTTTACACATTTTAATTGCAGTGGAACTGGGAGTTGGGATTGTGATGGCAATGGATTAATTTACATACAAGTCCTCTACTATGACAACTAATCATTACTGAAGAATCGCCTGCAGTGCAGATTTTGAAGGCAAACATATGGGCACTGGTCATGCCGTCATGCCATACATGGGTCACAGGTCAATCCCATAAGTTAGCAAATTCATATTAAGAACTGTTCTGAAATGACTCGATCAGTTGGGGAGTTAAGTCATGGAAAATTTGCATTTTGAGTGGCTGAAAACAACCTAACTGCATATGGAAAGTTTTGTGACATACTGTTATTAAGATTATCAAAGATGGCAGCTACTTTAGCGCATGTAAATATTTTATGAGTAACACATACATATGGAACGTTTTAAATTGTTATGAATATGAAGATGGTTGGGTTTTTTCATGTTGTTACAATGTTTACACAAACTATTGGCAGTATACAAACAGGAAATACAAAATCAACGAAGGGCATTTTTTAACATAAAGGAAAACAATGGTGATGTACTCCTATTGATACAAACATCTGTCATAACCATGAACAGTCAATCAATGTCTATGGCATGTGACACTATCTGATGTTCCACATGAAGTGCTTACCTCACGAAGAATGGCGTTTCCATCGTTGGTCATTACAATCCCACCCATTGGGTCCATCAGCATCTACAAGCAGACAATACCAATTGATTAATCAATGTGTTACTTCATAAAACACTCAAACAAGGAGCACATGTATCCTGGAGCATCAGGATGAGTATGTGCTCAACTGGCTATGTACATGGACTGGATATCACAAACTTGACAGTATGAGTATGGTTTTATGTCCAGTGTTTGAAATAACCACTAGCCCGCTAGAAAAAATCCAGTCGGGCCAAAATCTCCACAGTCATTGGCCCGCCTGGCTGGTGAATTTTCATGGGGTCATTTTGTTAATACATGTATATCACTCTCTCCGACTCGTTAAGTTATAATACGCTTTTAAATCATGCAAGATTATGGCCCAATAAAAATGTTTATCATATTTGCAGCTTAATGATGAAACCAGCGTCTACACTCAAATTTCTGGCCAGTGAATAATTTTGTGGGCTAGTAACTTTCAGGCATAGCTAGTCCGCCTGGTTAGCGAAATTTGGAAACTATTTCGCACACTGTTTATGTCGCTGTTAACAATATATCCCTGCAGGTGAACAACGGATTTGGGTTCATATGTGGAACCCATGTGGGGAATTGAACCCAGGTCTTTACACCAGGCTACCCACCATCCTGACAAATAACTTTTGGAAATACTTGTTGTACTTAACAAACAAACCATTCCATTGTTACTACATTTTTTTCCAGTTCCAATTTATTTCGCAATGTCAAATTGTCAACTAATGAGGTCACTGTAGTTCATGTTAGAGAAGTAAGCGATGACCATGCCAGAATACGGCCGACATGGAAGGATTGCTTCCCTTGTTTCTATAGCAACAATAACACAGCAACATCTACACAAGACATCACTGTTTCCTAGTTGCATGCCTGCAGACCAACGGCAAGCCATTTTTATGTCCCCTTCAACACATCCAAACCAATGGAAACTATAAAGTCATTCATTTTGGTATACACACTGTTAGGCTGCTTGCCAAGGCAGCAACAACAGTTTTCTTCATCGAAATGGTTACCAATTCACAAGTCTCAAAGTCCATACAAGCACAAAAACCATGTTTTAACAGTACGCAGAATAAAACTTGTCATTGACAAAGTAATCCAGCTTTATAGTTCAACATGTTTAGCACAAGTCATGAAAATAATGATCACACTATCAAAAACATTTGTACTGATATTTTTGTCCACAATATCACACAAGAGAGGACTTTAACTGATTAATACATAATCAAACCTGTAATAAACAGTTCTTTAGTTGTTTGTTAGCTGTTTAATGCCACACTCAGCAATATTCCAGCTATATGGCAGCAGTCTGTAAATAATCAGACGACCGTTACTAGCACACATACCCTACACCCTACACAGATACCCGGTACCCTACACACTAGTTAGGATGACACACTACCAGCTTGGTCAGACACTTAACACTTAACTTGTTTGCTGCTGATTGCTATTTCCGGCTCAAATACACACGGTAATCTTAATCTTAATCTTAATTAATTTATAGAGCAAAAACTAATTAAAATTACACAATGCTAGGATATATTTCTTTGGGTTAAATAAAAGTATTCTGTATTATATTTTACTGATGACTGCGTCAGAATTCGTTTCGTTATATTATTTTGCATGTTTGAACTTGATCACCGGGAAACGTGCACAGCTGATTGCTATTTCCAGCTCAGATACACACTGTAATCTTAATCCCTGCAAATAATACAATGCCCAGCAAAAACAACTTAGATCTTAAAAGGTAAATAATCTTGTCAAGTGATGTTTAATTGTAAACTTGACGTCTCTACTGACAAAGTCATCTTCTGTTGTTTGTTCCCGCGAAGTGATACGATGTTTTCTTACCCCTGGAAAAAAGTTTGACGAAAGCGTAACCCATGGATAAGACAACCCCTTCTACAGACTGCTTTTTTTGGTCCTCAAAATTCGGCTTATAGACGGTAATATACGGTAACTACCTAATACCCATCTGTGCCAAAGAGACAGCATCCACTGCGAGATGGAAGAAAGTGTGTATTTGCCTTTGTTTGATGCTGTGATGACCCAAGACAATGACAGTGAGGTAAACAGACACAGGGACATCAATACCGATACAGCACGATAGTCTACAGACACAGGGACATCAATACCGATACAGCACGATAGTCTACAGACACAGGGACATCAATACCGATACAGCACGATAGTCTACAGATACAGGGACATCAATACTGATACAGCACGATAGTCCACAGATACAGGGACATCAATACTGATACAGCACGATAGTCTACAGATACAGGGACATCAATACTGATACAGCACGATAGTCTACAGATACACAGGGGACATCAATACTGATACAGCACGATAGTCTACAGATACAGGGACATCAATACAGGGACATCAATACTGATACAACCACGATAGTCTACAGATACAGGGACATCAATACTGATACATACAGGGACATCAATACTGATATCTACAGATACAGGGACATCAATAGATACAGCCACGATAGTCTACAGACACAGGGACATCAATAGTCCGATACAGACATCAATACTGATACCTTGCGATAGTCTACAGATACAGGGACATCAATACTGATACAGCCGCGATAGTCTACAGATACAGGGACATCAATACTGATACAGCACGATAGTCTACAGATACAGGGACATCAATACCGATACAGCACGATAGTCTACAGATACAGGGACATCAATACCGATACAGCACGATAGTCTACAGATACAGGGACATCAATACCGATACAGCACGATAGTCTACAGATACAGGGACATCAATACTGATACAGCACGATAGTCTACAGATACAGGGACATCAATACTGATACACGATACAGATAGTCTACAGATACAGGGACATCAATACCGATACAGCACGATAGTCTACAGATACAGGGACATCAATACCGATACAGCACGATAGTCTACAGATACAGGGACATCAATACTGATACAGCACGATAGTCTACAGATACAGGGACATCAATACTGATACAGCACGATAGTCTACAGATACAGGGTCAATCTGATCGATAGTCTACAGATACAGGGACAGCACGATAGTCTACAGATACAGGGACATCAATACTGATGCAGCACGATAGTCTACCTGTCTCTGTCATCGGGAATCACAAGTACTCCACTAGCTTGTATACTTAATGACCTGAACATGATTCCATAATAGAGACAATACAAAGGAACAGATCAAATCCACGTACATGTTTCATTCATAGATTTATCCATGTGGGATCAACGTGAGCAATTCAATTTGCACACATGTCCGTTCCTTTGCCTGTTGTCCACAACTATACATCCTACACCAAGTCTCAATACTAATGTCCATGACATTATCAAAAGAATTAACTATTAATAGCTAAAAAAAGTCAGCAAAATCCTTTTACCTCCTAAAATCAGATTTCTGTGTTACTGACATTGAATCAGTAATTAATGAATGAAACAGTCATTTTCTCTCGACTACTGAAGTTGGCAATTCCCTGGTCTCCACAGCATCACTAACACATGACTGTACACCCAGCAGAACAGGACACAGAAGTGTGGAGGACTTGTAATAGTGTGGAGTGGGGTGATAAATCTGAAGTATTGATCAGCACTGCTTGCAGGCTAAACACATCTCATACAGGTGGGGACACAACAGCACATACCAGGATGCAAAGTTATGCCAGGGCACCGGACCGCCACCCACTGTTGCCATGGATAACAAATGGGATAAATTGACTGATCAATTAAGTCAACCTAAATCATCTTCCCATGACATGATCAGAAGCTACTTGTGATAACTGCGCCACAAAGTCGTGGCATTACTGGGACAAAGTACACGCACTGCTTCCTCATCCCTCACCAACATCTCTACTAGTGACGACAATGCTCCCTTGCTGTGGCCTAGGTGGGTACAAATTGTTGATCATTTTCCTGTTTACACAACAATGTTCATGTTCACTTCCGTACCATTCCTACATCCGATAAAGCAACTGTGACTGAGTAACTATAAAGGCATACAGAAGTTTAGGTAAATATAACAGATCAATAATATGGTTCACTTGGCACAAACCTGTCAAATTTGAGGCCACTAATTAAAACATTTGTATTCAAAAAGTCAAATATGACAAAAATCTGGCATGTTATTTATTTCACCTCAACATCATCCAAGAACAATGGCGTGATTATCATGATATAGAAGTATACAACTAGGTCGGGTTATGGATACTGTTTGACTGGGTGTATTTAGTACATTTTCACTCCATGTTTGGTAGAAAGCCACATTCAGAGACTTTGGTCTGTTTCAACTATTTGAAGAGTAGTTGATCAGCTGCCTTAGTCTGTTGTCTCTATGTTCTGGGTATTTAACTTTTAGAAATGTTAAAACAACAATTCCATCTGGAAAAAGGAGAGGGTAAGTATGACTTCTATATAGTCAGGTATGCTTGTGACTGAACCACATTAAATCAAGTTTAACACCCTTTAAAATAGTAGCCTGTAGGGAATCCTTATTCATGTTTGCATGTAAATTTTATTACCAATAAAATGTCCATCCATAGAAAATGTAATAAAATGAACATGTTAATGTGACAATTGTTTATGAAAATCAATATAGATACAAATTACCCTTCATATCAAATGACATTCCATTGATGACGTTACAGGGTTATAGTTCTTTCCTGTCGTAGCTTATTGGCAACCAGTGACTGACATCATGAGCATCCATCAACACAATAGGATACTTGAACCTTTGAAGACATTAAAGGGTTATAGTTCTTTCCTGTCATAGCTTATTGGCAACCAGTGACTGACATCACGAGCATCCATCAACACAATAGGATACTTCAACCATTGATGACGTTACAGGGTTATAGTTCTTTCCTGTCGTAGCTTATTGGCAACCAGTGACTGACATGAGCATCCATCAACACAATAGGATACTTCAACCATTGATGACGTTAAAGGGTTATAGTTCTTTTCTGTCATAGCTTATTCACA